TACTAATACTAACCCTATCTATTTCACCATCACTCAGAATAATAGACCCAAGATATCAAAAATATATAATCTTATTAATGACTTGATAAGTCAAGGTCACAATCTCTCCACAAAAACTATTATTACTAAAATTAAACTCTATACATTCAATTTTAGATATACTCAAATGAAATCCTTTAGAATTTATGGTTGACCTCAATAATTCAAGTTTTCCTTCAACTTCCTCTCTCATCTTTTCAACTAGAACAATATCTTCAACAAAAAGCACACACCAAGGTACGACCTCTTGAAAATTTCTAGAGAGAACATCCATGTCTAAAGCAAAAAGATGTGAACTTAAGGCTGATCCTTGACGTAATCTAACTAAAGTCAAAAAATACTTTGTAAAACCACCTTCTGTCTAAACACAAGTAATAACTCTTGTATACATATCCTTAAAAACTTGAATATAAGCATTATTAACCCCTTTCTTTTCTAGAACTCTCCATAGCACTTCTCTTCAAACTTTATCATCTACCTTCTCTAAATCAATAAATATCATGTGTAGATCAAGCTTATTCTCTCTATACTTCTAGATCAAACCAATCAAAAAATGTAAAGCTTCCATATTAGACCAGCCCAGTATGAATCCAAATTGATTTTGAGAAACATTAGCATCACACCGTAACCTATGATCCATTACTCTCTCCTACAGTTTTAAAGTATGGCGCATTAACATAATTCATCTATAATTCATAGAATCTTGTATATCACCTTTATTCTTAAAAATAGGAATCAACGCACTCACTCTCTACTTGTCTAGCAACTTTTTAATCTTTAAAATAATATATAAAGTTTAGTAAGCGAAGAAATTCCTCAATGTATAGTAAAAAAAAATATATTATTGTATCAAATATAAAATGAAGAGGTGAAGGATAAAGTTAAAGAGATCCATGATGGCACCCACTTGTTTGATGAGAACATAGATCATCCTATAGATGTCTGAGTATGTGCACTGAGGTGTATGATATTGGCTAGGAATAAGATTGGAGAATTAAAAATATTTTTATCGCATATATTATTGTAAAGATAAAATATACAAGTTGATTATTGATGGGGGTATTTATTAGGGGTGTAAACGAGTTGAGTTGAGCATGAGTCAATGGGTACTCAAGCTTGACTCGTAAGTCAAATATTGAGCTTGAACTCGAGTTCAGCTAAAAAGTCAAGCTCGAGCTCGTCTTGAGACGCTGAAATTGGCTCATCGAGCCATTCATGGAGTAGCTCGAATTTGTCATCCGTTCATTTTCCCTCCTGCCGTTCATAAACCCAATGAATTTCCTGCCTGATTCATATTTTCCCGCTCACATGCATTTGATGGGGAGGACCGAGGACCCAGTTTTTATTTTTCCACTGTCGTTCATTTTCCCGCCTGCTTGTGTTCGATGGGGAGGAATTGAGGATCAAAGCAATATATGAGGAGGATCTCACATGTGTTCATTCTCGAATCAAAGAGTCTAGAGATAGATGGGGGATGAACCAAGGATAACATGCATGCCAGCTCGCAATTTGATGATCAAATCGCAGAATGTTCACACCCCATTACCCTTCCCCATCAGAAATCTCACATGCATTTACACATCCTTACTTATCATGTTCCATGTAATGTCTTATCGAGCTGGCTTACGAGTCATCGAGCTGAACAATAAAATTATCAAACTTGAGCTCGTTAACAAGTTATACTTGAAATTTTGCTCGAATTCTACTCATGAGCTTAATATGCTCGGCTAGCGAACACATAAATGAGTCGAGCTCAAGCTGGCTCGGCTCACTTACACCCCTAGTATTTATATGAAAGTTATATCAATAGATACAAATTTAAGAATAAAATTAAAATTAAATACTATCCTAAGTTAATCATTATGAGATAGATAAACCACACTTCATTACCCCCCAACATCTTGAAGTCTAAAACTTATCAAGAAGGATAGTTATGAGGATCATATCTAATATAATATTTTTCCCATGGACATAACTCATATTCTACTAGGTATACCTTGGGTTTATGACTTAAATGTGATAAATTATAGTTAAGAGAACATATATGTATTTTAAACATCATGATATTACCATAAAGTTATTTCTTATAAAGCCAATAGTTAAATAGGCAGATACCTTTCCCCACAAATCTAGCTCTATAATCCAACTAAACTTAGTAAGAAGAAGAATACAAAATTTCTAATCATAATACTACGATCTATTACTATTAATGAGAGCATTGAGCACTGCTTATTCTAATACTAGAAATCTAATATGTTTGCCACCACCTATAAATATCAACATAGAAAGGGTAGGATTCAACATTACATTATGAGAGTTTTATAATATCGATCCCTTATCTTCTTGACATATTGATGTGAGAGAAATCACAGATCCAGGTGTGTAGCACACACCCATATGATATCTCACCTATTATATGAGCTTAGTTATATATATATCCTTATAACTTGTCATATGAGGGATATTCAACATGCTATCGATTTCATCCTAGATTCTCAATTATAAAATTTCCTCTACTATTGAATGAATCCAATAGAACAAGGTAAACTTAAGAGGGAAATAGATGAATTGGTAAGGAAATGCTTTCTCTAGGAAAGCTTAAGTCTTTTTGAAGTTAATGCTTTAATGATACTAAAGAAAAATTTTACATGGAGAAGGTGTAATTATAGAAGAGAAATTAATTAGATCACTATAAAATATAAGTTTTCAATTTCTAGATTGGATGAAATGCTTGATCTTATTGTTCAATATAATTATTTATTCAAAACTGACTTGAAAGTCGCAAATCAAGATTAGAATAGAGTTTCCATGGTTTAACTATTTTTTATAGAAAGTTCATTAAGAATTTTAGCATGATTATGACTCCTATAATAGATATTTTAAAGTAAGATGAGTTTGTATATATTATATCAGTTCATAAAGCCATCTAATAGATAATGGTTTGCATGACCTAATACTAGAGGTGTCAATATTTGACACGACATGAAAACCTGATTAAACCCGACCCGTTTTGGGTTCCCGAATTCGACCCGTTTGAAAAATGGGTCAGGTTCGGGTTGACCCGACAGGTTGCCGGGTCAACCCGAAAACTCGTTTGAAATGACTGCCCGGCTGCCCGCGGACCTACCCACCCCTTCCTGCGCTATGCCCAGGTAGCTGCCTACGCGCCAGCTGAAGGTGCTCGCACGCCCGCTACAGCTGCCCACGCACCCACCCGCGTGGCCGCGCCTGCCTGCTCTAGTCCACGCCAAGTCACCCGCATCCGCGCCCACTAGCAGCCCGCCGTCCCGCCCACCTACCGCCCGCCGCCTGTCGTCCGCCATTCTGCCTTCCCGTGTTGGGTTGGGTCAACCCGGCAAACCACTAGGTCTTGTATGGGTTCAAATTTTTGACCCATTTACATAGGGTCAACCTGTTTGAACTCGAGTCAGTTCGGGGTATAACCCGAAACCCGGTTTTGACACCCCTACCTAATACCCTACTCTTTGACTCCTAGACTTTAGTAAAATATTTAAAGTCATTTATGATGCTTCTAATGTAAAAGTATAGATGGTATATTTGTTACAATAGCTTTTAGACAAAGACGTTGAATGATGACGGATATAAATATTCTTCATATGATGTCGGGTTGTATGCTATCATTCAAAATTCCAAAAAATTGGAGGCGTTTATTTGTTACACAAGAGTTTCTCCTTAATAGAGATTAGCGTGTAATTAAATTCATAAATATTTAGAAAAAGATAAATTATAAGCTTGCTAAATGAGTTGAGTACCTTTTATGATTTCACTTTTGTGATTAAATATAAACCTGGTATAGAAATAAACCTGCAAATGCAATTTCAAGGGTTTCTTGGGCATTAGAATATCAAATTCTCAACTTGAAAGGCTATATATAATGATGCTCAAGTCTTTTAGTTTTTCATCCAATTTATTTAGAGCATATTTAAAAAGATGAATATTTTAGTAGTTCTTACATTTTGATTGAAAGATACATATATAAGGGGAAAGGGTTACGCATTTTGAGTGTTTTACACATAGGAAAGTGCAAAAACTTAAAATAAAATTCAAAAAATATTTTGCTTTTCTTATCACTTTTCCTCCTCAGAAAATATTTCTATAAACTTTGCATTTAACCTTCCTAGAATCTCTAGGGGACATGTTAAATTTGTTTCATATTTTTGAAAAATATTGTTGAGGTTAGTTAACACTGCATTAAATTTTTTATCCATATTTTACAATTGAATTATGGGCAGATTGAGGTGGTAAATATAATATAAGAAAAACTTGTCATTATAGCGGTACCGCGCTTCGGTACTATTCGGTACCACGGCTCAGTACTACTCGGTACCACGGCTCAGTACCGCTTGGAACCGAGGCTCGGTACCGCTTGGAACCGAGGCTCGGTATCGCTCGGTATCACGGCATACGAAAATAAAGCCACGTCCGGCGTCCGCTTAGAAAAAATTTCTCCATATATTAAGTATGTTATTAAATTTTTGTGTTTTCATTATAAAAAATATACTAGGCAGTGCATATTTCTTAATCATAAATTAGTAATACATTTTTAACGCATAGCAGTGGCTGTGGAATGTCAATGTACGAAAAACATATTTTATATTTTTTTATGAATGAAAATATAATTTATTGAAATAATTGGCTTAATTGCTGCATTATTGACGCATTTATTCTCAACATAATTATAAACACATCATTATATTCATCACTATCATATACTTTTTAAACAAAAATCAGCAATATAATAAATATTAATAACGTTTTTTTTTAATATTTTTTAAGGAAAATTAAACTATTTTATATATCCCCTAATCAAATCAACAAATTTTCAGAAACCTGTGATATGATGAATATGATACTGGCCTATATACCATTGTTCTTAATTGTAATATTATGCCTCATAATCAAATATGTTGAAATATTCTGCATGTCACGGCTTAACTAACCTTGGCGAGGCGCCCACAAGCACAAGGTGACTGAAGAGGTCCGGTCGCTTGATAGAGGCGAGGCAGCCTACCATGCCGGCCATGGAGTGGCCGACAAAGACGACACACTTTAACTTATAGTTGTCAAGGAGAGAGATGAGCTCATCGGCGAAGCCTTCGAAGGAGAAGTCCTTAGATGAATCGAAGGTCAATGGCGGCTTGACCGCCTCTGAGAAACACCAGTCGAAGAGAAAGAGCTGATAACGTTTTGATAGCTTGGGGACTACTTCGTCCCAAACGGCTTGGCTTGCCCCATATCCATGGGAGAGAACTAAAGTAATTTCTCCATTGCCTATTAATCTTGAATTCATGGCTATGGTGTTGAGAGAGAGAGAGAGAGAGAGAGAGAGAGAGAGAGAGAGATTAGGTGACTTGGACGAATTTTGGTTATAATACTGTTATATAGATGGAGTAAAGGGGAAGCAGTTATTATCTTCTGGAGTTATGGTACTTATTTTACTTTCTATCAAGCTTTTTTTATTGAACCAAAAACAGATGCTTAAGAGATAGGAAAAAATATTATATCAGGATATTTTAAGCAAAATTTACGATCAGTATATTCTCAATTTCTTTTTTACCTAAAATGGATATAATATATAAATAATTAATACAATAATTTTAAAATAAGTTTTAAATTAATTTTTTTAATAATTAAGAAATATTTCGGCATTAAAAGGTCATGATATAATTTTTTTCTTAATAACTGAATCGAAGAAGTTGATCCAACCTTGCGGGATAAAAACTTATTGTTGTTGTTGTTAGATGAACTGAGTTAGAGTCACATTTACGCTTTGTTTGGGACGACATTCTTACTGCTTCTTAATGGAAGAATGGATCCCGACGTGTTCATTAACTGATTGTAGTTGGTTGAGCGCATTCTTGAATTCAAGGAGGTACCAGCCGAGCGAATCGTCAAGTTAGTAGTCATAAAACTCAAAAAACCAACTCGCTATGGTGGGAAAACTTCAAAAGATTAAGGAGCCGTGAAGGATGAATTGTGACGTGGATGAAAAATGAAATGAGATTTTCAATGAAAGTATATTCCTAAATAGCTTAAATATGATCTACTTTTAGAATTCACCCAAATACACAATAGCTATCCACTATTGAAGAATATGTGGTTGAATTTGAATAGCTATCCTAAAAGTTTGACGTCATTGAACCAGAAGAGCATACTGTAGCCAGATTCTTGGGAGGGTTACTACTCTCGATTGCCATTATAGTATAGTCCTAGCCTTTTTGAACCTTTAAAAATATAGTCAATCTAGCCATGAAGGTGCAAAAATAGCAAAGATGCTTGAATAAATTCAATGTCATGAATTTTGTGCACGAGCCCTTATCGAAAAAAGAGTTACGCTAAACTAGACCCATTGCTGGCCACAGTAAGTTATAAAAGTAAATAAATTAATCGACATAATTCCTCACATGTGATGCAACCCCAAGTCTCTATCCCTACTTGCAAGTGTTTCAAGTGTCAAGGATTTGGGCATATAGCTTATAACTGCCTAAACTACCGAGTTGTAACATTTATTGAAGAGCCCAAGGTCAAAGAACCTGTGACTAATTTGACTATGAAGTCCTCTGACATTAAACTGACATACCTTTGTGGTGATGACGGGAAACAGCTAGTCTTTAGATAAGCATTGAATATACATAAATGATGAATCATGATTATGTCATAGCATCTTTCAAACTAGATGTATTGTGAAGAATATGATATGTAACATAATCATCGATAGTGTGAGTTACAAGAAAGTTGTGGCCACCACTATAGTCGATAAACTTCAACTAGGCACCACCGATCACCCCAAGTCTTATGTATATTGTGGATACATAAAAATACCAAATTGTAGATTTATAAGAGGTTTTTAGTGGATTTTCCATTGGGCATTTTAAAGATATAGTCTTATATGATGTCATCCCAATGGATGTGTGTCACCTTCTATTGGGATGGACATGGAAATTCTACAAAAATACCATACATAATGGCACTACAACAGCTATTTTTTCATGCATGACAATTAGAAAATAGTGCTGTTGCCTCCTCAATTTTAGAGGATGATCGAAGATCCCATGAAAAAGAATTTACTTAACCAAAAATTATTCCTCATAGGCTTTAGGCTTGTTAAAAAAGGATTATGGTTTTTATTAATGGAAGAAAATGAACCTCTCCAATCAATACCCAAAACCGTCCATCCTTTGTTATAATAATATGTAGACATTTTGACCAGAACCTTCAGCCGTGCTACTGCCACAGAGGGAAATCCAACACAACATTGATTTGATTATAGGATATGTGTTGCCTAATAGACGTGCTTATCACCTATGACCCAGTGAACATGTGAAACTATAATGACAAGTAAACGACTTAATTATTAAAGGTTTAATACACCCTAGTAGTAGCCCATGCATCACCCCGGCCTTACTTATTCTAATGAAGGATAAAACATTTCAAATATGTAAAGACAATCATTCCATCAACAAAATAATAGTAAAGTACCGCTTCCTTATACCTACTATTAATGATATTTTTATTAATTACATGGAGCTATAATTTTCTCCAAACTTGACCTTGGAAGTGGTTACTACCAAATCCACATGCGGCTCTGGCATGAGTGGAAGATAGTGTTTATGAGAAGGGTTATATGAATGGATCGTTATGCCATTTGGAGTATCAAATGCACCTAGCACATTAATGAGGCTCATGAACCAATATGTTTTAACCATTCTTAAGCAAATTTGTAGTCGTGCATTTTGAGGATATTTTGATGTATAGTCAAACCTTATATGATCATCTATTGCATTTGGGAATGGTGTATGATGCACTTTGAGAATAGAGGCTTTTCACCAATCCTAAAAAAATGCTAATATATAACAAATAAAATGTCAATTTTGGGATTTACTATAGCCCTTACAAACATTGAGGCCAACCCGGCCAAGGTCGAAGTAATCACACAATGGCCAACCCCTCAATCTACATAAAAGTTTGCCAACTCCATGGGCTGGTTTTCTTTTATCATAGGTTCATTTAGAGTTTTATTATTGTAGCTTCTCCCATCAAAGAGTTACTCGAGGTTGAAAATTTTAGTTGGAATCCAACCGCTCAAGGAAGCTTCAATGTCTTAAAGAACTGATCGTGTCCATTCCTACTTTGGCATTACCCAACTTCAATGAAGTGTTTTAAATGGATTTTGATGCATCCATCATGGGAAATGGGTCTATCCTCTATCAAAAGGGCCACCCAATTTATTTTTTAGCAAAAAATTAGTAAAGCTAGATGTAGATATTTTGTGTATATTAAGGAGTTTTATGTAATAGTAAGAGCCCTGCGTCATTGGGATCATTACTTATTACCCAATGAGTCATCTTATTCTCATATCAAAAAGCATTATGGTTCCTTACTAGGTAGAATTTATTGAAGGAAAGGCATACTGATTGGGTCAAGTATCTAGCTACTTTCCATTATGTCTTAAAACACAATTCCAAAAAATGCAATCAAGTGGAGGACGCCCTTTGGTAAAAAATATTTATACTATCCCTTTCTCTTATGAGATGTTAAAAGATTGATAAGTCTAAATTACTTATTATTTTAAGTGTTTTATATTTAATAAATAAAGTGTTATTCTAGTAATTTTTGTTTAGAAAAAACTCAAAATTAAATTGGTAGAAATTCTCAAGAACCTTAAACGTTGCTGCATCTGATAAAACATCACTGCAGCGCTACCATCAACACCACCGAGGTGCTCAAAATTTGATATGGAAGTGCCGAGTTCTCTATTTTCAAGTGTTGTTATAGCAACATAGATTGCATCACAACATTATTAAAATTGCGACGTCGGAAAATTAGCGTGGTAACACTGAATTCTCTATTTTCAAATATTACGGTGACATATCACACCTTAGCCCCATTTTTTTGCACTTGGGCGCCACAGCACTCCAATGTCCACAGAACTGTGGCATTGTAGTTTATAACTTCCAAGGGATATGTTCTATCAGTAAAGAGATGCAACTATTCACTAAGTAACTGATCCACATCAACAAGTGACACAGTAGAGGAAAAGCATCAGTGCCAAGGTGCTAGTACATTTCAGAGGTGCTGGGGCTCCATTATTCCAAGTGCCACAATGCCATCTTCAATTTTTATAATTTTTTTATAAGTAGTTGTGCTGTTATATTTGTTGTGGAGTTTAGTCACTTGTGTAATTTCAATACTTTTTAGAGTACTTCTCTATTTCCATCTTAGAGTAAAATGAAAAGGAGACTGGTAAGTACTCTGGAATGTTTAGGTTGGGTTTTTTGAAGCAACTCTCTAACTTAAAGGAAGAAGGAGTGTATAGGAGATATTTTGATTCTTTTTTGTGATATCACTCTCTTGTATTATTCATTCTTCCATAAATTTAATGAAAATGAGTTAGCTATTTATTTATTCTATATCTTAGTAATTGTCATATTTCAAATTGATGATATAAAATGTATGTTAAGTACTAACGCAGACTCTGGTTCTATAAACTTTTGAAAAGTTTTTCAATATTATGTTGCTTTTTATTTAATGCACATAGGGTTATATGTGTATTTAAAACTTTGTTTTATGTATAGCCTTGATGAAGGAATGCTATGATAATGAGTAGAATTGAGATGGAATGTTTTACATGCTTTGATATAGGATGTAAAATATTATAAGTTCTTAAGAAGATATTATAACTTTAGAAGGTCAACATATATCCTTTTCACCCCTACAAACTCATTAGAGATCTAGGGATGCATATGCTCTAGATCACATTACATGAAGAGTTTCACTATGAAAGATATACAATTTTATACTCATCAATCTAAAACACTTTAATTTAATATTGTATCAAATATTTTAATATTTTACTCATTGATAGAATCTCCAAAATAATATTTTTATTTCAAAAGGATAATTATTGCAGTTAGAGTAGAGAATAGTAGTTTCTTGCAAGTAAGCATAATTTCATGTTGATTTGTCACTTTACTATATCACTTTATTACTTGATTGGGCATGTAAACTTACGTATATTAAGTAAGGATTGTTATTAGTTAAATCAAAGAAAATCTAAGCATTATTTAGGGGTGCTAGTGTTCTAGATTTTATACAATTCAAAAGTTCACTCTTCAGCCCCCATCATAGATTCAATAAATGTTGCAGAATTTCAAATTAGCCAAGACTTTGTGTCATAAGTTAAGATTATACACCCTCTACCCATTTAGTGGGGCCATGGATCAATGTTAACCAAAATTTTGTGCTTGTCTTACCTCGAACACAAAGAAATAAGGATTTGATAATGGTAGAAGTTAATAAATTCTTGAAAATGTCCAACTTTCAGCCATCCAGTAAAAC